TGCGAAACGGAGCAACATCGTAAGTAAAGATAAAGAAGAAAAATAGGGATATTGGAAGTTCGGGAAATGAACGTGTCAATTGGTCAGGAGAGTAATGAATGTGGCTCATTAACTAAGGCAGTATAGTTGGTTCATTTCTTTTTCTTCAAAAATTGCACTAAGTCAGGCAACCAGTCCGGACGAACATTGGCTTCTTTTTTGAACTGTTCCCACAGACATTCATGTACCTGACCGTCCGATTTACCAATAATTGAGTGAAGCAGAAAGTCGTCTGGAGCTATTTCGTCACATATTAACACTGCATTATTCTTCATTTCCGCTACTGCGCAGTTCAGCACGTCAGAAATTCTGGCCACCCATTTACCGTCAGATGTGTAACCGCCTGAAAGTTAAGATTACCGTTACGCGTGATATACTGAACCCCGTATGATTTTTTATGTTTTTATCTTAATCTTACGGTTACCGAAAGTGGGAGACATAGGAGACATCCTAGAGTTTTCGGATTATTATCTACAAGAAAAAAGTGGATTCAGAAGTTTAGTTATGGAAGAGTAAAGTTACTGTTTGTTCCGGTAAAAGAATCTCTGATACAGTGTAAAATTCAGAAAAAAGCATTTTTTAATCTGAGGGTAATAAGTTGGATTTTTAAACATTTTCTATGGTGGTAACATATGATTATTCGTTATTATCATGTTAATATAGCCAAATCTTTTCGCATTATTTTTATTTGTGTTGTGTGGTAGGGGTTCCTCACTATCCCTTGGAAAAATTTCTTTTCCTTTCTAATTATACAGCAGTTTGAAAGTCTTATTTTTACTCATTTGTGCCCCTATTATTATTGTTACTGCCACTATCACTGTGGAATTACTTCTACTAATATGTGGAATTACTGCTGCTACTAATACTACTCTAGTGTTAGCAGCTTACCGGCGTATAGAGCTGCGATATGTTTCTTGATAGAAGACGTTGCGTAGACGGTCATTAGAAGATCAAGTGTTGCTTTGATTCCTTTACATGCTTGCTCGGTGACTTCACAAAAGCAAGAAAGAATCGTGTACTCGACATAAACAATGGCAAGTGGTTTACAACACTCATAAAACGCGTAATTCTTGGCAGTGGCTTCAGTCATACCCGATCTCGTGAGCTTCTTTATTTCAACTGCGGTCTTCTCGGCAAAATGAAGAATAAGCCATTCGTACGCTTTTTTTATGTCTAAATTACATCTATTAAAGGCAACTTCTAAATTCATTTAGCTAAGGAATCGTTTTGTTCCACCAACCGTGGACGATATTTTCTCCCCAGCGTTCGAACTTGGGTGCTCTTTTTTGAAGCACTTTAAACGAATTTAAAGGGGACTCCACTGGAACAGAAGTACTGTACAAGGAAAGCAGCACGTTTGCGGTCTGTTGAAGTAGAACATTGTTTTCACCTTCATAAGTCCGACTTGACTCGAAGGAATCATAAAGGTCGTTTAGACGAGAGCATTTCAAACACCTAAACGGACAGATAGAATTCAGAGCGTTTGAAACTACGACTCTGGTAATTCACTGTTTGACAGAAATATCTGTATGTGGAAAAAAGGTTCTGACATATTTTAAAAAAACTTATTAATTAGAAGTTTCAGTGCGAAGGCTGCAGGATATCTTTTCGTTTTGCACCATGTCTGATTAAATTCAAACGTCTTAGGTTATTACAGCCTACAGCGAAAACTTTTAGTTTGGTGCCGAATTTGCAACACCAAAAACTTATTAAAACTTTACTTCTTATTCATTGAAAAGTGCTTTATTCTATGAGCTTTTGGTGCCCTTAGAGCCATCTTCTCATTAAAATACGGGGCCAAAAACAGAAATAGCATTTGCAACCTAAACTTTGAACATCCTGACAGTTTTATACCTCGAGCTTTAGAAGGGTTCTCAATAGAGTAGCATTTATCAAAAGACTAAAGATTTAAGGAATAATATGAACTTCTTAGCTTAAATGGAGTTCAGGATGAAACCGCGTCTGAAATGAACTAGTTTTC